GGGCGGGCGGACGGCTTCCAGGCTTGCGGGACTCGTCCTTTCGGGAAGAGAAGGTTTGGTGTGTTGGTAGCAAACACGCTCACGATTGTGACGGCGGCTTGGATCATGCGTGATTGGTGATTGTGCCCAATGGAGAGGCAACAGGTATAAGAGGCGAATGGCCGGCCTGGCACCCTTTGCATTGTGTTGCCCTGCCCCCCCCCCCACGCATGCTGCTACAAACAAACCACACACACACATCCTCCTCTTGCGTGAGAGATCGACTGGCCTATACGTCACACCTCGACAATCCCCACCCAAGCGGAGATCTTCCCCAGCTCCACGGACTTGAAACAGCATGCTCACCATCGCCATTACGGATCGTTCCTTTGGCGTGCGAGCCAAGAGCCATGCTCATCATCGACTGTCCAACCGATGCTCGACGGACGACGACGAAGAAGAGCTGAGCTGCTTCGACAGCCTATCGCTCAGCAACGCGCTCGAACTCGAACTGGGCACCGAGCTCGCATCCCTGCTGCCGGCATCGAGAGGGTGCACGGCTGCACAAGCGCACGCCTCGTCCAAGTCGTGCGCGACGACAAGCAAGGCATCAGCTCTGCAAGCCAGACCAACTCACCTGAGTCTAAAGGGCCTCTCGACGGTGGGATCTCAGACGCCGAGCAGGACGCCACCGCCTTCTTACGTGTCCATAAACTCGCCACCTCCCACCTATTTCTGCCAAATGGCGGACGAGAGGATGAGGTGCGAGACGGGGGAAGGAGAAGCCTGCAAGCTGCTGCTCGTCGAAGCTTCTTTGGCTGCCGGATGGTCTGCAAAGGTCAAGAGACGACGCGAGCGCAAACTTTCGAGGACGGAGCCTGCAGACTTGCAGTCGGCCGCGATGGTCCGATCGACGGTGAAGGGCACCGCGCACACGTTCGAGGCGCAGGACCTGCACGCATCGTTCGTCGCGCAGCGCGACGCATGGTCCAACCAAACACCTCGTAACGACCCAGCAGCAGCAGCAGCAGCAGCAGCAGCAGCAGCACCGCCAACCGCGGTGAATGCGCGCGCAACCGGCTCACCACCATCTCCGACCGACACGGCTCGCATGCCCTTCGATGCGTCGCCGACGAGTTCACTCAAGCGCACCTCGAGCTCCTCCAGGTCGAGCGTGCTCAAGCAAGTTCGGTTCGAGGATGAAGAGAAGAAGAGGCTGTGGAAAGAGTCAAGAGTGGGCAAAGGATGGAGATTGGGCAGCCCGACGACCGTTCTTCTTGGTTTGGCTTCGCAAACGGCGTAAGATGGGTGAATGATTGGCGTGGCCGTGCCTGCCACCACTTTGTCGGGGCAAAAAAAGGCCGACCCTTGCTGGTTGGTCGAGACATGCGCTCCCCCTTGTAGAATCTTTTTCGTCACCCTTGGTCACCTTTCGCCTTTGAATGTATCATATCCAAACGTCAGTCAGCCCCCGCCTCTTGCTTCGAGCGCGATGTCATCCTCCCCACCCAAATCGATCCCCTATTCGTGCGCTTGACGGGCTTTGCGTGGCTTGAAGACCGTCACGTCACGCTCCTTGATATCGTCGAAAGGGCGCATCTTGCTGCTCGAACGCGTCATTTGAAATGAATGCATTCCTCCCGCACGTCAGAGGAGAGGTTACGCGTGACGTGACGTGACAGTCGAGAGTCGACAGTGCGAGTCACGAGTCGAGAGTCGAGACCGCGCACCGATGTGCATGGCCTCCGCGGAGCACAATGTGCACGCGTGCCTGCGCGCATGAAGCGCAGGGCGCCTCGCTGTATCGCACGAAAGACGCGCACAGACGCGGGCGAACGCCCAAACCAGGCCCCAAAAAACTCAATCACGTGAATCAAAAGGGCGCACACACACACACACGCACAACGGCGATGAACTCGCTCGCTTGAGCGCCTTGCTTTTCTACGCCTCGCTCTTTGTCTCCGCTGTCGTGGCGGCCGAGTGCAAAGGCCACGCTTCACGTTGCACACAATTGCATTCACTCAGTCACTCATCCCCAAACGTCTCTTTCATCATCCACAAGAGCCCACCTCGCCCATTCTGCACGCATACAGCGCCGCCTCGAAGCGCCCCAACGGTGATCGATTGGATGGTCCTTCGCCTCGCCTCTGCCTTCACACTGCGCTCATTCTATCGAGCTACGACCGCTGCCGCCACGCGCACGCGCACGCGCACGCGCACGCGCACGCGCTGCCCCACTGATCTCCCCAGTCTCGCAAAGATGTCCGCCTCTGCTTCTGCCGCAACGACAGCGACAGCCGACAGGACGACGCTGATCGCAGCTATCGATGCGCAAGGTTCCAAGGTGCGGTCACTGAAAGAGCAGTCTGCCGATGCTGGGCTTGTCAAGGCAGAGGTGGACGCGTTGCTGGCTCTGAAGGAGCAGCTACAGGCTCTGAGCGTATCCGCTGGCAGCGCGAGCAAGTCTGCCGCAGCAGCAACGGGATCCAAGATGGTGCTCAAGACGCCCAAAGGTACGCGGGATTGGGAACCTCTGGCCATGGCTGTTCGGTCGCAAGTATTTGAGAGCATCACGCGCGTCTTTCAAAACCATGGCGCGGTCACCATCGACACGCCGGTGTTTGAGAGGAGAGAGATATTGGCTGGAAAGTATGGAGAGGACAGCAAGCTGATATACGATCTGATGGATCAAGGCGGCGAGCTGTGCAGCCTGAGGTACGACTTGACTGTGAGTGCAACAGGCTGGCGGAACTTTCCGGGGGCATGTGGGCGCATCACCTCTCAGCAATCCATCACCCCGCGCGCACACAGGTCCCTTTTGCTCGCTTCGTCGCGATGAACCCGATCGAGTATGGCTCCATGAAGAGGTATCACATTGCAAAGGTGTATCGAAGGGATCAGCCCGCCCTGTCCAAGGGACGCTTCCGCGAGTTCTACCAGTGTGTGAGTGTCGATGAACTTGGCCCCGCTCGAATGCGCTGCTCAATAGCCACGCGACGACCTGCGTCACCTCCCTCTGCACTCTCCAGGACTTTGACATTTCGGGATCGTACGATGCCATGGTGCCCGATGCGGAGATTCTTTTGATCCTCGTGGAAGCCCTCACTGCCCTCGACTTGGGTTCCTTCACAGTCAAGATCAACCACCGCAAGATCTTGGATGGAATCTTTGACGTGTGCGGAGTCCCGGCGGACAAGACGAGGCAAATTTCTAGCGCAGTGGATAAGCTGGACAAAAGCCCATGGGAAGAGGTTAGGAGGGAGATGACGGTGGAAAAGGGACTCGATGGGGAGACTGCTGATCGGATCGGAGAGTACGTCAAGCTAAAGGGTGCGTGTGGACGTGGGCTTCGTGCGAACGTGAATGCGCACCTTACGCCCGAGTAATGTCTTGTCCTGTTCAGGCGGCAGAGATCTCATCACACAGCTGTCCGGCGATACGAGACTGACCTCCAGCGCGAGGGCGGTGGAAGGCCTCAAGGATATGGCGACGCTCTACGATTATCTGGACATTTATGGAATTTCTGAAAAGATGAGCTTCGATCTGAGCCTTGCCCGCGGATTGGACTACTATACCGGCATCATCTATGAAGCCATCACTGCCGCTTCTGCGCCGCCCTCTTTCGCAGCTGCAAGTGGTGCGGAGGTGTTGGGGGCGCAAGCAGAACAGTCGAAAGCAAAATCAAAGAAGAAGACGGCACAGGGAGAGGATGAAGAGATGGACGAGTCCACGGTAGGCGTGGGCTCCATCGCCGCTGGGGGGCGGTACGACAATCTGGTTGGCATGTTCAGCGGCAGCAAGAAGCTCGACTCGGTACCTTGCGTCGGCGTCTCCATTGGCGTGGAGAGGGTGTTTGCGATTTTGATGCAGAGGATCAAGGAAGCGGAAAGGAATGGAGAAAGGTCTCGCTTCAGGGCCAAGCCGGTGGATTGCTTTGTGATGAGCATGGGTGGGGATGGCTTTTTGAAGGAGCGCATGAAGGTCGCAAAGCTGCTGTGGGATGCCGGCATCAAGGTGAGCTGTGGCGCAAAGTGAGCTGTGGCACGTGCTCAGCGTCTGACTCGAATCGTCGTCTGCTCATGTTTACGCAGGCAGAGTTCCTGTACAAGGCGAAACCCAAACCCGGACCGCAATTTGCAGCTGCTGAAAAGGATGGCGTGCCGCTGACGGTCATCTTGGCACCTGAGGAGTGGGCTTCGCAAAAAGTGAGGGTGAAGGAGCAAAAGGGCAAGGATAGTGTAGAGGGACAGGGAAAGGGCGAAGTTGTCGGGCTGGACCAGCTGGCTGCGTATATCGCTCGTCTCTTGAAAGAGAGTGTGGCCTAAAGTGGACTCTTAATAGCACGCCGCGCGCGCCAGTCGAATGGTGACCGTCATTTGTCGAGTGTGGATGCAGACTTGAGTGTGTGGTTGAGATTGACAATGTCGCACACCGCACACAGACGTGAGAGCGTTTGCGTCTTGAATCGTGCGTCTTGAATCGATTGCACAGGCTCGAGGTCAGAGGTCAGGAAGCCATCGAAGTCATGAGTCAAGACTGTCTGTCTGTCTCTACACGTGACACGACTGCGCACGCGCGCGCGTGCGGGCGATGCGGCAGGCCGGCCGGCCTCCACAAAGCCCGCCGAGTTTGTCGGGGGGCATTCGCGCATACACGCACCCAGCCTTTCCCTACACGACCATCACCGTCATCACCAGCGGGCAAAGACACACGACTGCTTTGCTCTCTCTCTCCCCCACCACGCAGTGTCCCCCACTCACGACATCTGGTCGCCCACAGCATATCCAGAAGCGGCTGCGGTCGCTACACCACTGCCCCGTGCCCCCGTCCAATGCCGCTGACGCTCCACTCGCGCACGGAGGAGTAGGCAGGCGGGCGAGTCTGCAGTCGAGCTCGCCATTGTCACACTCTCCCGCGCGCGGCCTCAAGCTGCCAACAGCGCTACATCCGCACATCCGCACATCCGCACCATGTCTCGACGAGATGCAGCGCTTCCTGCCAGCTTCCACGACGCCTCGGGCTCCACCAGGCGAGGCGCACGCGCACGCGCTGCAAGTCGAGCGTCCTCTGTTCTCCCTGCCTCTTCCTCTCGCGCTTCGTCGTCGTCGTCGTCGTCGTCGTCGTCGTCGTTGCGCGAAACGCTGGATGGCCAATCGCACTGCATCCTGCATCCACACCCGCACTCCCACCTGTCCAGCCTTTTGCCATTTCAGCGACAGATTCTGCAATCCTTGATCCCGCCACCTGATGCTCCGCTGGACGAAGGGGACGCACTGACCATTCTGGCCCGAGGATTGGGTCTGAGGACGATCATCAGCGCACTGCTAAGGTGCTACGACAGTCAGGACGCGCTCATCCTGCTGGTGAATGCGGGCGAAGAGGAGAGCGCTGGAATCGCCGCGGAGCTGGACCTGATGGGAGCGAGAAAGCCTGGCTTGAGGAGAATCGTGCACGACAGCAACGTCAGCAGCAGGTGAGCGCTCTGTGAGGGGAGCATGATTGGCCGAGAGCGCGCTTTCTGATGCACTCACAACTGTATGCGCGGGTGTATGCGCGGGTGTAGGCAAGAGCTGTACGCTGCTGGCGGACTGCTCTCCATCACCTCGAGAATCCTTATCGTCGACATGCTCAACCGCAAGATTCCCATCAGCAAGCTGGCTGGCATCGTGGTGATGCACGCCGAGGAGTGAGTGCAGCTTTTGAGAGTGCTAGTGCGCAGAGCTCGACTGATCGGCACGCTTTCTCCCTTCGGCCAGGATCACGCCTCTTTGCACCGAGTCGTTCATTGCGCGCATGTACCGCGAAGAGAACAAAGACGGCTTCTTAAAGGCTTTTTCGGACGATGCGGACCGCTTTGCCATTGGATTGAGTCCTCTGCAGACGGTGCTCGGTCAATTGCGGATACGCGAAGTGAGGGTGTGGCCCAGGTGAGCGAATGCGTCACGCTCTGCTGCCGCGCAGAATGCCGCCCGCTCTCCTCACCCAGAGCTTTTGCGCCGCTATGCACGCACATAGATTTCACAAATCCGTCATTTGGGACCTGGGAAGCGGCTCAGGAAGGGGGGACGTGATACAGCTGCACCAACCGCTCTCTAGAAGCATGCGCGCCATCCAGACGGCAATTGTCGAGTGTCTCGACGCAACTCTGGGCGAGCTGAAACGCGGAGCTGGGAATGTGAGCAGAGCGCGCGCGAATACGTAGAGGCGGAATGTGGCGCGCAAACTGAAGCATTTGCACTCCTCATGCAGGTCGACATTGAAGATTGCACCGTCGAGAATGCCCTCTTTAGATCTTTCGACGCCATCGTGCGCAGGCAGCTCGATCCCGTCTGGCACCGTGTGGGAGTAAAGACTCGTCAGCTGGTCGGCGATCTCTCCACTTTGAGAGGTCTTTTGAGGTACGTCGGGCCGGATGCAGGGGGGGTGATCCGCATGGCAGCTCATCTTTCGTCGTCTTGCCAGGTTCCTCCTCGCGTACGACGCAGTGCGTTTCAACCAATATCTAGAGACTATATTGGCACACCAACCGCGCACCGGCTTGCCGTCCGAGTATGCGTCAGGCGGACCTAGCCCCTGGATGTTTATGGACGCTGCAAATACCATCCTTGGCGAGGCGAAGCGTCGCGTGTACGTTGGAGAGGTCTCTGCTTCTGCGGAGCTGATCATTGACGCCGGCGAGGAGGAGGAGGAGGCAGACGAAGTGGACGAAGAGGCAGAAGCCTTTGCAGCGGCCCACCAAACCAGTCTCAACGAGGGGTTTGCCGAAGCGGAAGCCGCTCTTCGTGGCGGTAGCGCTGCCGAAGGGCAAAGCAGGCGCAAAAGGAAAGATCGACTTTGGTGGATGCCGCCTGGCCTGGAAGCCGTACTGGAAGAGAATCCAAAGTGGCACTTGCTGCGAGAGGTGCTGGATGAGATTGAACAGGAAGTGCATTGGAGCACCGTTGATTTGAGTGAGTGAGGGCGACCACGGTGCTGACCACGGTGCTGACCACGGTGCTCGACGTACAGCACAAAAGCAAAACAACACTATCCTGGTCATGGTGGACTCGGATCAGACTTGCGGTCAGCTTCGAGAGTACTTGAGCAAGATGAAGCCCCTGAGGCACGGCCCTTCTGGTCTGGAGGACGCAGACGATCCGAACCCCGGGAGAAAAATGATGGAGAGACGACTCAAGCATCACCTCTTTTGGAAAGGCAATATGGGATCTGCCGCGTCGAATGTGCCCAGCAATGCAGCCGCGAATGCGAGTGCTGATGGACGAAGCGCCACGAATGGCCACGCGTATGGCGCGAGCGACCACGATGGACGGTCCGCGGCGCTGAAGAGAAAGGACCAGGCAGCTGAATTTGATCGGCATGCTAGCGCTCTCAAAAGGCGAAGGCGACGCGGCGGAGCTGTCGGTGGGGTTTCTTTGACTCGGCTCAAGGGCGGCGCAGCCGAAAGGGGTGCCGAAATGGACAAGGAGTCGGATAGCGTGGCGACGTTGTGAGTGGTTTGGCGACCGTCTTTAGCTTGAAAAGTGTTGACGCTGTGATGCTCCGCCTCAGCATGTCCCAAGCGCTTGCACGTGGACGAGAAGAAGCGATCATGAGCGGCGCCACCGAAGCGGACATTGACATGCCAAGCATCGTGGACCTGGATGCAGACGACGATGATGTGGCAGATCAAGAAGAGGAAGAGGGCGGTGCGAAAGGCGGACTCGTAGACGCGACCCTCGCTCCCCCATCCACCCAAATGCTTAGTCAAATGGAGTTTGAAAATTACTTTGGCATACTTAGTCCCGAAGAGCTGGTCGTTGTGCGACCGTATCGGGGCGACGCAGACGATAATATGCTGCAAGAGCTCAAGCCGCGCTTCGTAGTGCTGTACGACCCCAATCCCGCGTTTGTTAGGCGTTTAGAGGTGAGAAAAGTGTCTTGTGGCAGAAAAGTTTTGCGTGCGAGGGCGAAAGCTAACGACGACTTTTGCGTCGCAGTGCTACAGAGCTTCACCCATTACCAATGCCGTCCGAGTCTACTTTCTCATGTACGCCGAGAGCGTAGAGGAGCAGCGTTACCTGTCGGAAATGCGTCGAGAGAAAGAATCCTTTGAGCGCCTCATCCGAGAAAAGGCAAACATGGCTTTGCCTTTGCTCGCAGATGGGCGACCCTCGACCGAGGTGGAGCAACCTCTGCGAACGATCAATTCGAGAATGGCTGGGGGCCAGATCTCTGTCACGAACGAGACGCCGAGGATCATTGTCGATATGAGAGAATTCAGATCCAGCTTGCCGTCCATGCTCCATGCCGCGGGTGTCGAGGTCAAGCCTTGCACCTTGCAGGTAGGCGATTATGTCCTCTCACCGGAAATGTGCGTCGAGAGGAAAAGCTTGTCGGATCTGGTGCAGTCATTCAACTCGGGTAGATTGTGAGTGCGCATGCCAGACGTGCGATCCGTAACACTGCTGAAATGGAGTGATGGCAAATAGGTACACTCAATGCGAGATGATGTCCATCCACTACACTCATCCGATTCTACTCATCGAGTTTGACGAGCGCAAAAGCTTTTCGCTGCAGGTGAGCCGGCGCGCGGCGGCGCAGTTCCACTCTGGTGATGCGGCTGACGCGAATGATGACCCTCGTGTGCGTCTGACCCCTCGCGTATGCCAGACCGTATCCGAAGCAAAGACGCACGGACGATCTACCAATGTGCGCACGACCAAACCTCATGAGCTCGACATTCAGAGCAAATTGGTCCTGCTCACCTCGGCTTTTCACCGCCTCCGCGTTGTTTGGTCGTCTTCTTCCCATCAGACGGCCAGCATCTTTTTGGATCTCAAGGCATCTTACGACGAGCCGGACATGGCTCGAGTCGCCGCTGTAGGCACCGACGAGAATAGCGCGAACAACGAGACGGCCTTGTCCGCTGCTGCTGGCTTGGCCGGCGGATACAATCTCACGCCGCAAGAGATCCTGCTCAGTCTTCCAGGCATCACTACGAAAAATGTGCACTACGTCATGGGCGCTGTCAGGGATCTGACGGAGCTGTGCGATCTGAACGAAGAGGAGCTGACCAAACTCATTGGCAACGAGCCAGGCAAGACGCTTCATCGCTTCTTGACATGTAACACGCTGCGGAAGCCCAGCTTGCTACGTCCGAGCGCCCAGGGTGCGAGGAATTTTTAAGACCGTGCGTGCGCGAGTTGCGAGGTAGCGCGCGCAGACTCGATCTCAGGAACATGTAGCACTACAGCACCGAATGCATGCATGAGGAGTCAACAGATATCTCCGCGCTAGTAATAGCCGATGATGCATGGCCACCGCCTAGACTCGTTGATCACAAGAGCACCACGGGAGCGCAGCGCAGCATAGCAGCAGCTGCGTGTCCAAGACTCTTGGCGTAGCGTTCTCACCTTTGAGCCCCACAATCGTTCATTTCCCCAGCACCCTCGAGGTCCTGCTTTGCAGCATTGACCTTGGGCGTGATTTGGACCTTTGAGCTCACGCCAGAGCAAGTCTGTACTGACGCCATGTTCTCCTTTGTGCAAAAGATTTGGGTACCAGACGCTGACAAGGAATGAAAGAGGCTGTGGGCTCAGACCAAGAATAGTAACACCAATGAAGATAATCATGCTAAGGCCAATACTGACAATTTTACTAGTAAACACTGCAGATGACTAAGATATATTACTATTCAGATTCTGATTGCCCACCGCACCTCTCCTTACCTGGGCTCAAAAGTCAGCAAGTGTTGTGATGGGCAAGCAGACTTTTGAAATGAAATTCAACAAAGAGTAAGAGGGCAAGTGGAAGAGGCAACAGGTGAAAAGATCACTGCCAAGCTTACAAAAGCTTTTGAGCAGCACACAGCAACCATGCCAGATCTCAAGATGAGGCAAGATTCCCATCTTTTGTGGACCAAACAACATCCACTGCTACAAGCCAAGTTGCTCAGCTTATTTGATGCTGTGAATGCAAGACTTGCACTTCAAAGCATTGCACAGATTGACAAGACTTTGCAGGAACTGTATTTGGAGTTGGATTAGCTTGGTTTTGCCGTTGTCCTCTGCAAATTCAGTGTCGCATCACGTAGCAGAGTCATCACAGCACCCACACGCGTCGCCACTACTTGATCAGACCCGCGCAAAAGGGCTGCATTCAGCGTTGTCGTTCAAAGACTTGAGTGTCTGCCGCACCGAGCCATGAGTGTTACAGCCATGGGGGGGAATGTATGCGCTCCTACTCGCCCCCTTTTAGCTGACAATCATAGTCATTGCATCTGCCAGCAACCACATCAGCCTGACGCAGGACTGTTCCTCCCCCGCTGCGCACCTTGGCTTGGTCATCATCGCGCTCCACTAGATCAGCATCCTGCCCTCGCATTCACCAAGCGTGACTCACGGACACGCGGGACCTCACCTTGCGCAAAATCCAGCCGGCATCCTTGACCCACCGTCGCTCTCTTTCGACGTCCCGAGATTATCGACCGCATACATTCGCTCAAATACAGCATTCAAGCGACTACGCTGCGTGATAGAGCACCATCGACTGTCAGAGACGCCGCAAGTGTCGCTACTACGAAGCAGCTTCGAGTGTGAAGGATCGGCTCGCTCATCAATTTCAGCGTCACAATCGACCTCCTACAAAGCAGATTCGACTGTCGCGAACCGCTGCTCACCGTTCGCGAGCCTCTGCTCACCCCTTCGCAACCCGCTGCTCACCGTTCTCAAGCTCCTACTCACCCTTAAGCCCCTACTCACCGTTCGCGACCCTCTGCTCACCGTTCGCGAGCCGCTACTCACCCCTACCCTCTACTCAACCTTCGCAAGCCTTTACTCACCCGCCCGCACAGCAGCTTCGAGTCTTACGGATCCGCCTCGCTCACGTCATTCGTTACGAACAGACCGCACGCTCACCCTTACTCCTTCAGAAGCAGCTTTGAGGCGACACAAGCCAGCTTCATTTGCTGTGAGGGTGAGTTTGGGACTCGAGCGCACGCTCGTGCAAGTCTTCATTGACGCAACACACTGCACGACAGGAAATGTGTGTACCGGACGCCGTCAGGAATGTGTACCCGCTCGCCCACCGCACCTCTCCTCTCTTGTCCCTAAGAGTCAGCAAGCGTCGCGATGGGCCAGCAGACTTTGAGCGGGACCTCGACGCAGAGGAACAGCGCGCATGGAAGAAGCGAAAGGTCGAAGCGACCACCGCAAAGCTTTCAAAGGCGTTGGAGCAGCATGCCGCAAACATGCCTGATGTGTACTTGAGGCAGGAGCTTCAAGTGCTATGGACGGAACAACAGCCGCTACTGGAAGCCAAATCTCTCAGCCTCCTTGACGCCGTCAATGCGCGACTTGCACTACAGGGCATCGCGCAGATCAGCAAGACTGCATGGACAACCTACCTGGCACCAAGCGAGTCCCTCTTGCTCGGCATTGACTCTGGTCGCTATTCACCGCAAGAATTGCAGCTCAAAGAGTCCGCCACCGTCACCCGAGACGCACACTTTTACTGGAGGTGCAGGCTGTAAGTCGCGCGCAGCTAGTCCAAATGCACCACTGCTAATAACATGTATGCGCGTCACAGATCCCCTGGAGGAATGTTTGGTCAGGCACATTACTGTCCACCAGATGAAGCTCACCTACTCTTTGCTGCACAATTCCCCACCTCACCTCTGGCACCCTTTTTCCTCCAAGAGACTCTGGTTGGCAGATCTGACAACTACTTTGGCTGTTCCAGTCATGTCTCTGGAGCAGAGAGAGCTTGTCAAGATGAAAAGGGAGAGGGTCACACCCTCCTGACCAACTGTCTCTCCACTTTGGAGGAGCAAAACTCGGCATTCCTCACTTTTGACCTTCCAACTCTTTCCATCCCCCTTGAAGAGGAAGCAACAACAGCTTCCTCATCATGGCAAGATGTCTGCCATACCCGACTCAACAACGAGCTGCGTGTTCACATGGTGCAAGCGGCCAAGCTGACCGAGAAAAAAGACGCGGCCGCCAGAGCATCCCTCTTGCAACAAGTCTCTGGACTCACTTTTCCAACGCCATCCTTCAAAACCACGACGCTCAAAGCCACGCCTGCCCTCAAAACCACGACCTCCCCCGCGATCGATGCCGTGCTGGAGACTGTACCTGCTATCGGTATCGTCGAGAGGGTGCTCATAAATCTTGGTCCACCCACAAGATCCTTCAACAGCGCTCGATATGGCGGCATCTTGACGGACCAGATCGTCCTGAACCAGGAAGCAGAGATTGAACAGGAGGTCCAGGATGTTTGTGCGGCGCATACAAAGGTCGCGCCGCCCACACCGCCCGCACCGGCCACACCGCCCGCACCTCCATCCAAGAACGCGGCCACAACTGCAAATCTGACCAGCCGCACCCCTCATCTCGCTGACGACGCCCCGGCCTACCTGCACATGCTCTCCTGGCAGCTCACAGCCAGAGAGTGGTGGCTCGTTAATCGGCCTCGTGCTCATCATCGCATCGTTGGTCTGCAAGCAGCCAGGCAAGCAGCCAGGAATGCGGTTCGCGGATTGGACGCTCTCTCTCCCGCAGAGCCTGCGCAGATCATCTGTGTCGGAAAGGACATCACCATGGGTGACATTCTCGGTCACACCACATTTTTCGGCAAGGCAGCGGGCAGCGGACCCAAACTCTGGAGATACCTCTCCTCGCAGGCAGGGCTTGAGACTGGACCTTTCCTCGATCTCTTCGCTTCGACACTGGATGAGCACTACGAGTGGATCCTTCATCTAGTGTGCCTGCGATGGATCCTTCTCGGGGTCCAGTGGCTCAGACGAAGAAGAGGAGTGGCCTACCCTGCGGTCTTGGCGCTGCTGTCTTCGGAAGTTGCCTCCGCAGTGTTGAGAGGAAATTTGACAGAGGTCGAGATGTACAAGCATGCAGGCACAATCTCTGTCGTGGAGGGACTCGACGCCGTTGCTGTTGTGCTCCCGCACCCTGGCTCCCTCAAGTACGAGGGCTCATCCGTCCGTCAAAGCGCCCTCGCTCAGCTAATCTTCCTCTGCTGTCTGAAACTCAAAGTGCTCCAGCACATGGCACCAAACTTCGTCGGCAATCCCTTGGCCCTAAAGAAAGCTGCAGACTCAGCAACCCCCTTGCTGGACACTGCAATCAGCCAAGTCAAGGACCATTACCGAGCATAGAATTCGATGCCGTCAGCCAGAGGCCTGGGAGCAAACCTCAAAGCCTTGGAAGCACTCTCAGACGGCGACGCTTGGCGGCAAGCCCAGCAGAAATCAGCCCACTCTAGCAAGCACAGCATCCAGACAGCTCTGGCGGCCGAGAAGACTGCTGCCGGCCCTGCGCGCATCGCGCAAGGCCAGCGATACGTGGAGCTTCTGCAGAGCAACCCCCTCGCAAAGGTCCCCTGCCCGCACGGCCTCACCGTGGGCGATCAAGGCTGGTGGGCGTGGCTCATTTCCATGCCCCCGGGTCTCGACCTTGGCAGAGCAGCCGGCGTTTTCGACAGTCGAGCAGGTCAGACCGCTTGCCTTGGCCCAGCAACTGCAATGGACCTTCTCTGTTCTCCCCGATCCACCTACAGAAGCCGGCAAATTTTCTCCTTCTCCTGCCGTCACTGTAGTGCCACTGGACTTGCACGAGAAGAGTTTCACCATGCCTGCCACATCGCTGGCCGCACCTTCACAATGATCATGGATGCAAACGACCTGCAATCTGTCGAGATGCTCTGGCCATCCGACATTCAACGCTGGCTACAGCAAATCGATGCACCGCAGCCACTCCTTCGCGCCGTCACATACCCCGCTTCTCGCTTCCTCCCCGTCGCTCTGCAGGGCTGCGTCCTGCCCACCGATGCAGTCTACGCAGAGCCCGACACACCCCTGACCAGCGACTTCTTACTCGCGCAAGCGGTCGACCATCTCATCTTGCGCACCAGGCGCACGGATGCACAACTGGGAATAGCAGGAGACGCCGACATGCGCAAGACGCTAAAAGGCCTCATCGATTACATTGGTCGAGACATGGCGTCGGGCGATACAGCAGTGGAGCAGCAAGAAGACCCGAACAACCCGTTGCCATTCTACAACACAGCGCGTTGGTTCACTTGCAACGTGCAGGGCTGCCTCAAGCGCCACCTGGCAATCCCGACCGGCCAGGATCAAACCACAAAGCGACACTGCGAGCGCAAAGCCACTCCCGGCCCCGCGCTTCTCGCTTTCAGAGACATGCCGCTCGACTGGCAGCGCAAGATTCTTCACCATCGCGCCATCGAGTGCGCCACGCATCACAAGGCCGCCAGCCAAGTTGCGACCTTGCTGCAGTTCTTCGACTGGGGTAGAGACCCTGCGCAGCCGCTTACCGTACAACCCTCCGACCTGACCGTTCCACTGGCCGAGCACGTACACCTTGCGCACGCCCCTCAGCTAGAGTAAGTTCGTGTGCCCCGCATGCCCTCTCCCTTGCCGAGTCACCTGCACTGTTCTTGCCTCCCCTTTTCGCCGCCGAGTCACCCGAACTGTATCTGTAATCATTCTGCACAACCCCTCTACGAGTCGCCCGCACTTCATCCCGGGGCAAATGTCGCATGGTACATCACACCAACACAATGCCGTCTACGTGTGCTTGCGCGCACCGCTGAAATGAGACCGCGGTCCGCCGATGCTCCCGCACGGTCGAAACTGGCGGCGAGCGGCGCCGAGCAGGAACCTCAGTCGTGATGGCTCTTACACTCCTTTCCGATGGCGCGCACACCCTTTTCGGGTAGCGCGCACATCGCCCTTCCCATGGTTCGTACGTCTGGCTCGCTGGCGATTCTTTCCGACGATCGTACATCTGGCTGGCTGGGACTTTGTTGGCACATTAGCAGGGCGGCGCTCACTCGAGTCCGAAC